CAATAAGGATGAAAATTGTCGCTTCAACCAGAAAGGGATGAAATTTATCACATGTGTAACTCCAAGGATCTAATACGCCGTACATCCTTAACTTGATTTCGTATAATACATAAAGGCCGCGATAAGCATTCTTACTAGTTTTACTATCGAAGACGCCTCGTTTATAATTGAGATTACTAATTGTTCGCAATGGCATTCTTTTATATGCGATGAATTTTTAAATGCGAAGTAGTGGTGTGCATGCAATTTTGTACGTTTACAATATATAGTGGGGCAAAATTATGCGACTAATTACATTTTTAAATCAACGCGATTTTTGTTTTCATTTGAGAATGGAGTCATTGGTAAAAACGTTTTGGAGCTGCCGGTTCAAAGGAGATTGCTTTTGTAGACTAAAGGATTTTTTACCAGTGTCGTCTACGTAATTAGCATTGTGGTGTTTAAACTGAAGCTTAACAAACGGTTGAACGCACCGGTTAAAATGACTCATTGCACCAGTGATTAGGCCGTCTTAAAAAAATTGGATGTGCTAATCTAATCTTAGCATCATTAATGCGGTTTGATAATTTCCACGATTTTTAATATCTTTATAGGTGCTGTGATGCCTATTTGAAAAGGCGATGGGATACATTGGTAATGGTAACGGTCACGAGTGAAAGACACTATAAACGAAATTGCATATGGAAGGCCTAAATACTTATGCTCTGCTAAAATTGTAGCGCTTTTAATAATTACATCTTTTGCAAAAGTATACGGGCTACCATAGCCTTCTTTGGGGTTTTCCTTTGGGAGTATTGTACACAAGCAGAGTCTTTTGCCGTCCTTATATTATTATACCAGGCCTATAAGTAGATGTTCACTGACGCTAAAATATTGATAATGTGTACATAATGCGAGCTTACATGCACATGTACACGGAGTAGGATATATTCTAACACTTTTAAATTAAAAGAATCTCATAAAGTGCCACATGGCCCGCATAAGGAATTTTAAGGGGTGCTGCAGATGCGTAAAAGCTAGTGTGAGGACCCCACAATTGTAAGGATGATACTATTTTTTAAGACAAGCCCAAAAAAATCCAACTAAATAACCCACTGGGTTCTGATGCTTCCTAAGTGACATTAAAAAAGGGGAGCAGCTAGATTGCGCACAGTAACACCTAGTGCATATTTCTCCTTTAACTTCTGGTAATTAACCGTATAATTGACAAAAATGGAATCGTGGTGATTTTAGGACTAACGTGCTACCATGATGTAAGCAGTAACAAAAAATTGGCACGATACGTTTGCCTAAGAAGCACATGGAGATGATGTGGTACCTTGATCAAAGATAAAAGTGGTATTTAAAATTGTAGTTTGGACCCGGATGTTACGTGAAAGTTAAATTCACATTACGAGGATTTGATGTCGAAGGTAGATTAAATTGGCGTCGACAGTATATCTCTAGAATTTCACATGAGAGAATTATGTCAATTAAGAATGAGATAAAATCTATATAACTTAATATAATTATTAGTTAATTACGTCGATTTTCCGACCGCACCTCCGACCACACTGAAAATGCTTATATGTTGTTGATAAAAAATGACAACTAGGGTCAGCTGAGTAAGCGAACAATTTAATTTCCTTCATAAAATTGGAAAACTAAGAGCTTCACTTGTCCATCTACTTCTTGATTGGTCGGAGATGCGGTCAGACGTCGTCGGGGGAATTACAATACAAATGAGGTCAATCTTATAGCATAAACTGTACGGCTGGGTTCATTTTGATTTGGCTTGTTCTTTTTATGAATCTAAAGAGCCATCTCGTTAATACGTCTAATAATTAAAAAAAGCCCAGAAGCTTAGTCAGGAATTTAAGTGTTGTCACTTGTCAGTGCAAATCTGAAATAAAAATAACTGCAGTACAAAGCTACATTTTATTCTTAATCCACAATCCTTCCTGTTGGCACACTCTCTCGAATTGTCTTTTGTTAAACTCCATAATGGGCCCGATTTTTACCTCACACCAAGCTTCATAGCTATGAGCAATATTTCTTCACGGAACGGAACCTCAAGTTTATGTGTAAATGCATGCACTCCACAAAAGAGACCGGGAGTACACTTTGACTTCATGGATTGTGCGACCTAATTTGATGTGCGATGATTGATGGGGTTGGCTGGAGTCATGACGGTAAAGGGGTGTACCCCTAAAACCTTTCTTCTCTCACTACTTGCACGTTGCCTATGATTGACATACTAGAGATAATCAAGGAATCTAAATTTATTATTTGCATGTTGTTACGCACTTCATCGCGATCATTGCCATGATAATGTGTTCTATCTGAAGAAGCGCTGAAGTTAATGGTGGTTACGTCCACTAAAGCATGATTTATCGTTGCTGTAGAGAAGTGGTCAAAGGAAATCTTGACCAATCGCCTTGATCAACTCGTAAGTGCACGTGGGACGGGTCATGACGGTCTTGGGACTGACCGCTACAGTAATACCCAACGATAAGCTGGACGGTTTGCAAGTCATCAGTGGCGGTCACAGATTATGACCACCGGTTAGGGTCACGACGAGTGACTGACCGACCATGGTCACGATGGGCGACCAGTGGTCATGGTCACGATGGGCGACCAGTGGTCATGGTCACGATGGGTGACCAGTGGTCATGGTCACGATGGGTGACCAGTGGTCATGGTTACTACATGATGACCAGCGGTCATGTTGGCAGTTAAGGCTGTTTACTTCAAGCACAGGGATTGGGTGGTGGCAGGCGAACAAAGTAGCAGGAAAAAGAGATAAAGAGAAGTGTAAACGTAGTTCTAGCCCCTAATAGGTTAATAACGACTAGTGTTAATTTTACTACAAAAGACACGCGTCAGCAGTCCTCCGGGCTGGAATACTAGTGGCCACCCGACGTACAAGGTTTACTGTCTACGCGTTTGCTCAAGGTTTGCCCCTAGATTGCTTGGCTAGGGACAAGTATACTCATTCAAGTTAGCCCGCGATCGGACTCGGCAAGCATACAAGGTAAGGTCTTCAGACGGCTCAAGTGATCAGAAGGACAAGGTGATCAAGTGGTCAGAAGAACAAGGGGGATCAAGATTCCAGATTTAGGAAAGGCGACCTCAAGGAGGTCAGGCAACTCTAGGAGGGTGCCACCAGTAACCGTTGGTCGTGTGAAGAATTACCACGCGACCACACCCCACATATCCTCGACTCGGTCAAGACAAGACATCGACCTCAAGACACCTAGAAAGGTGCAACCGCCCGCCGAAGGGTACACAAGGTGAAAAGAACAAGAAAAGACAACACACACGGTCCGGAGTACCATCTTGGTTAGTCGGTCGTCCGAGCGCAAGTGGGGAGTCAGGATCGCTACGTCAATGAGCGAATCTCACTCCACCACAATGGTGCGCGTGCCCGGATTCGAACCAAGGATTTTCACCGTGAATCTTAGGGCGAAGATGTTAAGGTCAAGAATGTACTGGGGATGGAAGTGTCGGCGAAGTAGGGATCGTCGCAGACACGTGATTGTAAAGGACCTTCGGTTCGGCAAAGTTTTGGGAGGGGCTCGAACGAATCGAAATTCAAAGGGGAAGATCGCCAAAATGATGTCGAAAAAGAAAAACCTCTTATTCCTCCTGAGGTCCCTTCGGGGACCACCGCGGATCGTACTGCAAAGTACGACTCGCTAGATGAAACAAGTCCAGCCAAAGCAGGCCTCTTTCGTCTAAAAAATTAAATCATACACAAAGAAAAAGAAAAAAATGAAGGCTACGGCTCCCAAGCTACGCGCGCCTGACTCCGAGGGTGATGATTAAGAAATAAGCAGGGCAGAAGAGGTCAAGATTATATGTTGGAAGATCGATCAGCTGCAACGTCGTTTGCACTGGACCCAGCTTTAAGCGTTGCTATCAACAGACTTAGTGCTGACCATCTTTCCGGAGCTGATCACCCCGCTTTGAGGACCGACATTGTCTCCACAAGCAGCAACTAGCAAAATAGAAGCAGAGCAAAGTCTCATTCAACTGCTTCAAGAAGCAGGATTCGTACCGGGGGCATTTGACGCGCAGGTTCTGCTTGACTGCGACCTGGATCAAGTGGTCACGGTGAGCCGATCACTGTTCAAAGCGCTGGTCCCACTGACCGGTAACTGTGAATCCGCTGACCGCAAGATCACGACCAGTATCATAGTTAGAGAGGAAGACTGGATACCAGCGTCGTCGTCACATTACTCTTCGGCGAAGTCGATTGCAGACGATAGCGACGGCTTAGAAGTATATCGAAAGTCGTAAAAACCTTCCGGTCCAGCACTTTTACGTGACCGCCACGAGCATCCGACTCCAACCACCGGACCGTTGAGACTACCCACAGAGCCAGTCGATGCTACAGATGACCCCGATTAGATACAAATTTACTTTGCAAAGTCCATAGAAAAGTTCATGCGAGACCAACAGCGACGGCCGCCACATTCTGAGCCAACCAGTCGCCCCAACTCCAAACACAAGGTGTTCGGGGTAGGTATGCCAGACACGGACATGTAACTGGCTGAATCGTATGGTAGTCGTGGTAACACCTTTGACCCTAACGACCTCGACATTGACGGCGTCCATCGACCTACACTTGGCTACTACGGAAGCCGTTATGGGAGAAGGATTTGCTGCGCAGCGGATTCGCATGTCTGCGATCGCCGATCTATATGAATTCTCAGGCCGCGATCACGATGATGACCGCGCTTGAATCTGGGAGCGAAGGGTCACATCAGCTTTCTTGCAAGAACTAGCCCCCGGTTCAAATAGATGTTTAATTTTTGGAGATTTGCTAACAGGCCCAGCACGAAACTAGTACTCCCGGTTAAGCCGATCGACACGCAATTAGCGGAAAGACTTGCTGGGGAGTTTTATACAACGATACTGTGGATACGGCATCTCTGCTGGTCGCCAGTATTACCACGCCTGCAAGCGTGACGATGAAACTCCGCTAAAAATACCTCTACTGGTTGAATGTTTCTGGGATGCGAGCGAAAATCCACGTGAAGGACGGGAACGTCGCTGATCGCCGAGAACTCGTGGAACACTATATCGAGACACTAGATGACCACGATTTCGCAAAGCAATTGACCTTGCTGCGCTTGGACGACGTGGATACGCTTGAGATAACGCAGCACACATATGAACGCATGCAAAAGCGCAAAGGCAATCTCCTGATCAGTTCAGGCAAGTTCTGCTTACGATCAGCGTCGCCATACTCTCCAAGTCCATCCAAACCGGCTCGAGCTGTGCGCGCAATCCACGTGGGGGGCGAGAGCAGTTCGTCGGAATCAGATATAAGCATTGCGGAATTGGACGAAAACCTACGACGTGTTTACAGCGCCACAGCAGCCGACCATACGGAAGACCGGGGAAATGATCGTCCGACCAAGCCAAGATCGAACGACCGTGAAGCCTGATCATGAGCGTGCAGAAGGGCACAAGTCGTGCACTCACTTTGGGTCCAAAAGACATGATGACAGGGGATGCTTGAGACGCCTGAATTGTCAGAAACGCGAGCGCCGAGGTCACCCATTCGACAAGTGTTTTTACGGATGCGCAGCGTGTAGAGAAGTGCAAGACGGTGGCAACTGCCGATGTAAAAGTTTTACAATATGCTTCGCAATGGGTATGTGCCGACCAAACACGCCGGAATGCTTCCTCCCGACGCTGAGAAGATGTTAAACTAGGAGCTTACCAGGTTTGAACCTGGTGCGAGACTAGAGTTCTAGGCTATGCATAAATGCATTCATTGAGAAAGGAGGGGTTGATATAAGTGCTAATCGCCTGACCGGCCGGACTATCAGTATATGTGACCTGGACTCTAGTTCTTTTCCATCGATTGCAAGATTGCAGTGACCGGATGAATACGCTTGATCACCCACAAAGATGGAACTAAAGTTGTCTCCTGGCGAATCACGTGGTCACTGAAAGTACCATAATCCAAACAAGTGGTTCAGGCAGCCAAGGCGGGAGAAAAATTGACAATGAGAAGGCCACCCTTTTGTTTGACTCGGGAGCTGAAGTCTTAATCATCCACACCACCATTGCTAGTAAGGTTGGCTGTGATATAGATGAGAGTCAGAAGCAATAATGCGTGGTATCGTAGAAATCCGTTAATGGCAGAAGGCAGCACAAAGGTGAAGTTCACGCTGAATGGCTTCTTGGTACACTACTTTGATGTATGTGTGGGTGACCAAGTGGGACAAGAAGTAATTCGCAATCTAGGGATGGATAGAATGGCACCGGTTGGAATACGCACTGACCTGGCAGACGATAGATTGTGCTTGCCGGACTAATTTAGAATTTTACTGATAAATAGGAGATCACCGTATGGGGCGAAGATACAACGAGTTGCTGCGGATGAGAAGTATTTGGCGATACCGGTGGGTGACTCAGTGGAGATCAATGTTGGTCGGGGAACACTGCAGTCGAAATTGTGGTTATTGCGCTCCGCACGTTTGGCACCCACAGATATGACCGGACCCGGAAGACTTACGTTCCTCCGCCTAACCAACCTAACCGACCAAGAGGTGATTATCCAACAGGGGACACCGTTTGGGCAATGTACGCCGGCGGACATGATACCACGGTCACCCGGGTATTTGTCGGTAGGGTCACTTCGTTAGTAGGAGTGGCAAAAACTTGCATACGAAGCTTCTACAGATAGAGATAAAGCGGAAGAAGTAATGGGAGCAGAAGGAACGTTGGTCAAACGTTATTCTCACCCGACACCAACGCGGATTCTAAAAAACCCCACAGTATATGGTAGAGATGACCGCGGGGAGAGAGGAAGCGGAATCGGAAAACAACGTGCCTACATGTGACCAGGTGGATGACCAGGAGGATAAAGAAGGACCACAACCAGAATGATCACCAGTAGCTATTAACGCGATCACTACAAGTGATACGGTTTGTTATTCAGTACATGATCGGCAGGAACAAACGAATGAACTCCAGAGGGAAATGTCTACGTGATCACCAACGTCCGCCGACTTGGTCAACCCTATTGAGGCGATGGATGATACGACGATGGTGCACGAACAGTCCGAAACGCACACACGCGATGGTGAAAAAAAGCTCACTCCCGAACTGATCATGGATATGGTACCTGATTGTATGCAAAGCAAGTCCCCTGATTCCCCAGATGGAATTACTGTGGGGGATGGGGAGGTGTATCGACCACCTGACCATCTGAAAGACCAAGAGCAGCGGTCAGCGTCGAAGAAAAAAAAACTATTCGTCATACCAACACGCAGGTAGAACATTATTCGCGGAAGATGTTGGCCAAAACACGGCATTCTTACCGAAGGTGGACACGACGCTATGCGAGGTGAAGATTGAGGATGTATAGGTGGGCGAACCAGGGGTTCCATTGATGAAAGAGCAATAAGAATTACGCCAGCTGATCCAGGAGGAAAAAAATCTGTTGATGAACAAGAGAAACGCCCTCCCACCTGCGGCCCGAGGCGTGACATGTGACATGGATGTGGTAGGGGCGACCCCGGTAGCACAACGAGTGAGGCCTGTCGCCCCAAAGTTCCGTAAAAAGTTGATGGATCTGATTAATGGGTTACTATCGGCGAAGATTATATGTCCCTCAACCTCGCCGTGGGCATCGCCGATCGTAGTGATCGTAAATAAGAATGGGGTAGACTTACGACTGTGATTAGATTAACGAAAAGTCAATTGACGAGGCTGATGGTATATCCCATACCCTTGATTAAATACCTACTGCAGGACCTGGACAAAGCGCTAAGGTACTGTTCATTAGATATGACAAGCGGTTGTGGGTTGTAAAAATGACGGAGAGAGCAGAATGATTTCTCCTTTTATTACGCCTATAGGTCTATTTAAATGGCTAAGTATGCCGTTCGGGTTGAAAACCGCACCGCAGATATCCCAGCGTATGATGATTAATTCATTGTATGGGTATATCACGATCGGCAAAAGGCTGAGTACAAGTGGTCGCGAGGTGTCACAACCCGTCAACGTGTTCACTCACGGCGAGGAGGACCCGCACCGAAAGCCTTGATTTTTGGGGCGAAGGTCCTTTATTGATGACATTCTGATCCCGTCGTCGTCCTGGATGTCCCTTTCTCGAAAGGCAAACAAACTGTTGGAAGTCTGTAATTAGTGGAATTTGTCGATCAGTTTACCTAAGCGTGTGTGGGGATGACGCAAGATTGAGTATCTCGGGCACCAGTTGTCGATATCAGGAATAGAAGCCAACCCGAAAATTCGGGGTCGTTGGTCAATATTACATTTTTTCAAACATTGCTGTCGATGCAGTCCGTTTTGGAAAGCTTGAATTACTACAGCCGGTTTATTGAAGATTTAGCCGTATACGCCTTAGTCCCGTATGAATTATGTGAGGCGGACTTCCACGAAATTAGGCGATTGGACAACTCGGAGCATGATTATGCAACAAACCAAGACCAGGATAGTGACACCCAGATCGACGATGGCCACGGCCAAAGGATGGTGGGTAGCCGTGATAAAAAATGACAAATACGGAAAGTCATGACCAACCGAATACAGCGGAGTCTAATGGCGAACCTACAAGTGGTCATCGTTGGGAAAAGCGATGGTCGCGCTCGCTATGCTAAAAGCAAAAATTGCCCAGACCCGGGTGCTAAGATATTTTGACCCTGATCGTCGGCCAGTGATAGTGGTTTATGCCAGCAAATGGGCGGTTTCCGCTGCTTTATTGCAAAAACACGATGGAGTGAATTGGCCTATTATGTTTAAAAGTCGCTCGTTAAAACCGTATAAAATTAACTACGGTGTGGTGGAGAAAGAAATCCTGGCCCTGTTCCGGATACTAGTTGTTTATTATACACTACTAGTATCGCAAGACCTTGAGGTACTAACACGGTATTTACCCCCTGGCTTGGTTGATGCAATCATCGCAGCCTTAAAAGGAGAGTTGGTAGATGGGCAGATTTACTGTCATCTTTAACTCTGGAAATTTATTGATGCAACGAAGGAAAGGAGAAATTCTTGGCACTCTTGCCGCAAGTATCACATCACAGGAGACGTGGACGAAATGCTGATCGCGATCGCGCCACGGATGCAATCGAGACGGATATCCAGTATGCCGCTATCTACAGTCATCCGCGAAGAATCGCTTCTTGTCGTCAGCTTTGATGGAGCAGACCGTGTCAAGGAAAAAAGGGGGGGGGCTACAGTGCAACAATATGGAATCTTCCCGAGTGGACTATAGTATCGGCTGCGTCGCGATTCGACACTGAGTTGACCGTGAACGAGGCAGAGTACCACGGGTTGCTGCTGAGTCGCGAGTTGTTGAGCAATCAGACCAGGGGACGAGTGATCATTTGTAGGGATTCCAACCTGGTTATCAGGTAGATGAGGGGTGAAATTGACTGCAAGCTACCGGGACTGCACTTACTACGTCTAAAGGCCCTAGATCAACTGCGATAATGGCCGACTCTTGAATTTTTACATGTTAAGCGCGGTTAAAATCAAAGTGCCGATAGACTGGCTATCTCTGCTTTACAGCTGGAAAAAGGCATGGTCAGACTAATGGAGCAGGATTGCCATAATTTACAAGCGATGAACCGACTGGACGAGATATTATTTCAAACGACCAACAATCAATTGGCCAAGATAACGGCGATCACAGAATCAGACAGACGGAGAAGTGAAGTGCCCATGGTTATGCAAGAGAAAATATTACAGCAGATGCGATTGGAGCGCATGAAGCAAGCACAAGATAAAAGAAAGTTAGATAGCCAACCTCAAACTCAATCTACTCGGGGTTGTTACCGAATTGCATACTACGAAGCAAAAGCAAATGCAATTATTGACTCAGATTACGTGGTGGATGAAGGTGGATTGTCAGATTTTTGCCCACGAGCGGCAGCAAACCCCAAAGACCGCGCGGAGCTCGTCCGTTTGATGGTTCCGGAAATACTGCAAGATGATGTCCAACACCACTCCCATGCAAGTCTGGAAGGTGGTCACCAAGGAGTAGGCCGGACGTATCACCGCATGCGATCTCACTATCATTGGAAAAGCTTCTTAGAAGCGTGCAGCAGTTTGTAAGGGAGTGCGTCGACTGCGAAACCGGGAAAAGATGTCCGATCCTACGAGGCGAATCATCGGGCTTTTACTGGCCACGTACCCGTTCCAGATCATTGCAATGGGTCATATCCTTTCGTTACCCAGTTTATTCAACGTGAATATCGAACTGTTGCCTGGGTGGCTAAGTTTTTTGGCTACTTGATCGCTAAAGCTGGATCGTCAAGAACGGTCCAGACGATCGCGGAAGGGTATGAAAAATGTGTCTTCCGGCGGTTTGGGGCAAGTGAATCTGTTCGTCACGACCCAGATTCATGTCGAATTGTTTTCGCGCGTTCAACCGCAATACTAAACAGACACAGCGTGCTACAATGGCGTATCGGCCTTAAGCCAATGGTGCAGCTGAACGTATGGTCCAAACATTGACCAGGGCGCTAAAAATGTAAATCACGGATGTGAGTTAACAAGATTAAGACGATTACGCGGAACGCCTGACCTTCGCCATCAATACGGCCCATGACCGAGTACGGGGTAATACCCCGTTATATCTTACCATGGATGGAATTTTGCGATCAACGCTGGAAGCGACCCTGCCGTTGGGATGTACTAAAATACGTGACCGGGATTATCGGAGATGGCGCTATCACATACAGCGGCAATATAAATGAGTCCTCGCTACGGTGAATGACCGACTGAAGGAAGACATTCAATACCGAGCTGAACAAGACACAGTTGATCAAGAGCCAAATGGAATCAGCCGCGGTAGCCAATTATGGCTATATTTGAATCGAGTGAAGGAAGTACATGTTTGGAAGCTGGCTCGCATGTGGCACGGCCCGTGTTGGGTCATCGAGAAGTACGAGGAACATGCAGTGCGGTGGAGGTATAAGGAACCCCACACCGATTATTTTCACTCGTTCACGTTTCCAAGCTAAAGCTTGTCAAATTTTTCCTGATCGACCTGCTGCGCGGCTGGAAGTGCAGGAAACAGAGCGTGTTGATTTTGACGAACCTCTGCTTCCAAATGACAGCTGGGAAAGCGATCTAGCCGAAGGAGAATACAAGGTGGGTAGTATCCGAGATGTGAGAACAGGAAAAAAGACTCGGTACGGAAGGGTACACCGCCAGTTCATGTTCCGATGGAAGGTTCATAAGGATGAGATTTGAGTGGATGAGGCAAACCTCAATTGTGGTGGCTTATTTCAAGAGTTTGAACGGTATCGAGCTAGGCGAAACCGGTTCGAAGTGATGCAAGTGCGTGAGGAAGAATCCAGCTGTTAGGGTGACCAGGGACGGTAACCGCGGCCTTGAAGCAAGGGGAATGTATGGTCTATGGAGAACAAGGGATGACCACGTGAAACATTAATGCGAAGGAGGAATGTGGTCAACTAACATGGTGTCAATAAAGTTGAGATGACCAAAAGCAATTACTGCGGCCATATAACACTATGACCTCCTGGTCTGTGAAAGGAGGAGGAATGACTGCGTAAGCTATGGATGTATTGAAGCTGCATGGTCAATCAAAGCGGTGTACACAGAATCAAGAAAACATGGTGAACAGACTGCAATAGAAGTGAATATAATAAGCAGCGACTGGTGGTCATGACTGTGACCATTAACGTCATGGTCTCTCATGCTGGAGGCGACCTTTCACTGCGCTACAAACTTGGTCCGGAGACGGTCGATTGACGAGCCTGGGTGGTCAGCAATGGCCGCCCGATATTGACTGCGCCAGGGGTCAGCGGAATCCGCAAGGTGTAAGGCTGAGGCCAGCTTCGGGATGTTGTTCTGCCGACGGCCAAACCCTGGATACCACCAACTTGTCTCAAACCGTCCTGGAAAGTGCAGGAAGAAGGGGTCCAACAGGATGTCGAGGTCACACTGACCCCCAACCAATATTTCCAACACGATCCGAAGTACAACCTTCCACTGGGGGCTAGACCAGGAACGCCGACGACGCCTTTCTTCGTAGAAGAAGCTCAATCTAGGGTCTTTCGCGCGACTTGGACCCACGATGATTTGGAGCACATGAGCAGACTCCCATAACGCCTGGCGATGATGGGCTTCGAACTCACGATACGCGGTCATCAAAGCTTGGAACCAGTCAGTCGGGCTGAGTTACACACGCGCAATAGGCCGATCCAAGACGTCCCAAGGTTTTTGGCTTTATAAAGCAGCTATCTGGGCGGAGGTCACTAGCCGCAAGGACCACTGAGCTTCAGTTGGCGGACGCAAAGCAATGTCCGGAAGGGGGGACAGGTAGTGCTTGAACTGGGAGCAGTGGTAAAACAAGAGATCCAAGTCCAGGTGAACAAAAGTGACCAAGCCTTATCGATTGGATGACCATGGCGAAAACTGTCCAGGGGCATAAGTTGCACGAGAGCGACACCCAGGTATCCACTTATCGCGCGAGGATTGCACGGGGGTAAAGCCTTGTAGGCGGTCGGGGATAAGATCTTGTTTACTGAAGCATGAACGTAGCTTGGTACCCTCACCGACCCAACGGACTCGTCGAACGGCCTGGGTGGCTCTGCGGTCGAAGGTGTAGCAGCGATGGGCGGCGACCGGGAGGCGGCCGATGAAGTACGAGTATCACGGTTTGAAGGAGCTGGACGAGTCGCGGGCGTGTAACTGGCTCGATCGATCTCGACCGGCGTGTCAGCCAACTCATCAGCAGATATTGTGGTTAAGGCAGATGACCGCCGTCGAACGGAAGATCGCGACCGTGACAGTGCGATGATCATGGCCTCTTCAGCAGATTCTACGGAGCCGTCGCTATCCTGCGCATGAGATGCGGGGGGGGGAAACGCGCTCGTGTTCGCGTCTATGACCGCCGAGTCATTGAAGATGGTGGCGATGTTACGGTCTTGGGCTTGGACGATTTTCTGGTCGTACGTGCTAGATTCTTGGGGACGTCGGCGAGAGGGAGACGCCTGCCTAGACTTAGGGTGAGTGGATACCAATCGTGAATGGGTAGTTGGGGTTGGCAATCCCTGCAACCGTAGAGGAAGGGCTGACAGGCGAATCTGGTCCGACCGCAACGCGAGGATGACCAGGGGATTTAAAGTGGAGGCTGTTGGGTCAAATGGTCTACGGGCGGGACCACGTCAGATGGGGATCTAGAAGCCGAATCGAGGTGACCGTAACTCGCGCACGCTTGTACGGGGGTGGCACAGTATCGGCCGCTGACTGCTCTCTCCGCCACTTATCATTAACGAGCCCCACCTACGGCGGAAGCCCCGTGACGAAGTTGACCAGATAAGTAAGCTGAGCCTGGCGATCGCGAGTAAGCAGATCCTGTTCTGCTCTCAACAGCGCTAGTTCCGCGATATGAGCAGCTAAGGAGGAGCGTAAACAGTGAAGATCCTGGTGGCCTAAAGCGCGCTCCGTTCTCAAATGGTCAAGTTGCCGAACACGTTGTGCAAAGCTGCGATCAAGCACATCGAAACCTATTTGCAGTGGAGCAACACGCTGCTTATATTTACCTATCGCTCGCCGTAAGTCTTCACACTCCTTAGCTAACCGGTCAACCTCGGTCGTGTCCAAGTCATGCACTTGGTCGCTATCCACGTCAGCATCTGCAGGATCAGCATCGGCAGAATAGGCATCGTCCAAAAGGGCGTCATCAGATCCTACCGAAAAGCCAACAGGGTTGGCGAGGTGGTCAGCCGGAGCGGGGCCGGCTTGGCCAGACTCGGCAGTGTCCACGTTACGCACTTGGTCGCTACCCACGTCAGCATCGGCAGAAGAAGCATCGTCCGCCGGGGCGTCATCAGATCAGACCGAAAATCCAACAGGGTTGGCGAGGTGATCAGTTGGAGCGGGGCCGGCTTGGTCAGGCTCGGTCGCAGCTTATTCAAGTTCAGTGTAATCTTCATCATAAGGACCAAGGGTAGCCGACCGCAGCGGAATTAGCTGAGGTTACGCCGAACCTGAAAGCAAGGGTTATTTAACAGACGGGTGATATGTTGGCGACATCTCTAGCCATGGTGAGGGGAAGGCAGATTAATGTGTTCTCAGCCAGATCGGCACCGGCTGCGGACTAACAGAGCAGGGGACGACTGTGGTGAAGTGGTCAAAGGAAATCTTGACCAATCGCCTTGATCAACTCGTAAGTGCACGTGGGACGGGTCATGACGGTCTTGGGACTGACCGCTACAGTAATACCCAACGATAAGCTGGACGGTTTGCAAGTCATCAGTGGCGGTCACAGATTATGACCACCGGTTAGGGTCACGACGAGTGACTGACCGACCATGGTCACGATGGGCGACCAGTGGTCATGGTCACGATGGGCGACCAGTGGTCATGGTCACGATGGGTGACCAGTGGTCATGGTCACGATGGGTGACCAGTGGTCATGGTCACGATGGGTGACCAGTGGTCATGGTTACTACATGATGACCAGCGGTCATGTTGGCAGTTAAGGCTGTTTACTTCAAGCACAGGGGTTGGGTGGTGGCAGGCGAACAAAGTAGCAGGAAACAGAGATAAAGAGAAGTGTAAACGTAGTTCTAGCCCCTAATAGGTTAATAACGACTAGTGTTAATTTTACTACAAAAGACACGCGTCAGCAGTCCTCCGGGCTGGAATATTAGTGGCCACCCGACGTACAAGGTTTACTGTCTACGCGTTTGCTCAAGGTTTGCCCCTAGATTGCTTGGCTAGGGACAAGTATACTCATTCAAGTTAGCCCGCGATCGGACTCGGCAAGCATACAAGGTAAGGTCTTCAAACGGCTCAAGTGATCAGAAGGACAAGGTGATCAAGTGGTCAGAAGAACAAGGGGGATCAAGATTCCAGATTTAGGAAAGGCGACCTCAAGGAGGTCAGGCAACTCTAGGAGGGTGCCACCAGTAACCGTTGGTCGTGTGAAGAATTACCACGCGACCACACCCCACATATCCTCGACTCGGTCAAGACAAGACATCGACCTCAAGACACCTAGAAAGGTGCAACCGCCCGCCGAAGGGTACACAAGGTGAAAAGAACAAGAAAAGACAACACACACGGTCCGGAGTACCATCTTGGTTAGTCGGTCGTCCGAGCGCAAGTGGGGAGTCAGGATCGCTACGTCAATGAGCGAATCTCACTCCACCACAGTGCAATCGCGATTGTATCATGAAGGAGGTCTTTCACGCCTTTGAAAATTTCTGTAGCGTACTTTTGAATACACCTTTGCCTGAAAGCGATTCACGAGATATACAATGTTGGAATCGCCGCATTTGGCTATAAAATCGATTAACCGAGTTTAAATTGTACGTGAGAGTTAGTGGTTGCACTTGATTTACAGATAACTGTACTTCGATGTTTGTGATTTCGCGGAGAGCTTCCGATAGCGCCATGATTTGATGGGCCAGAATAGTAAGCTAAAAATGACAATAAACGATATAGAACTTACCCGAACTTGAAGCGCGTAGTTAATTTGAAAAGATCCTTCTGTTTCGTGGGTCACCTGAAGTCAGTATGGAAAATTCAATCCTCTGGCAGAAAAATATTACGAGTTTCGATGCTTAATTGATACCCAGACCTAGAAATGATCCAGCCAAAAAGAAAATGGTTAAATCCGTTTAACATCTATCAAATTTTAACCTGGCGTATCATCTTTTGCACCTCTTTAAGGTTAAGTAGAAGTTTATACTTTTTTAAATATATATCAATCGAATTTTAGCGCATTTTATTAAAGTGAAAGCCTGACATCCCTCATCGTTGTAGCAGCACTAAATACCTAACACTTACTTTCTTTCCCTTACATGGATGGTGTGAGCTGTTAGAATTACCTTTAAGACCTGGCACAACGATACATGTTAATATGGGAAAAGACCAGCGTTGAACTTCTGTTAATATGTAAGAGACCCCACAGATACAACATTTTAACTGGTGTAATAGTTTTATCTCTTTTATCTGTAGCGATTCTTAAATTAAAAAAAAATAGATGGAGGGCACAAAATTAGGTATAAAAATAATGGTCCCATCTGTTCGATTATCGAAAAATATGAAATGACACATAAACGAGACAAAATTTTGCTAACAGTGAACCCACAGGATGCTCGGCGTAAAAATGATGGCACCGAATGAAATCCGTAAAATATCATACGTCCGGAACTCTTTATTTATAAACGCCGTCAAGGTTTCTTTCTCATCTCTCTCGTACTTTCTCTGGAATGGGCACCCTTTGCTTGAAGTGCCGCGAAACTTCATGTACACGGTGCGTGCAGAGGAATCTGATCTACTTAAACAGCTACTTTGAGTAAAGGAAAAACAGAAATGTATTTGATTTAGTTAAGCTATCACGATAACTTCAATCTTTTTCTAAATATATCTAACTACGTCGTCGTATGACGACAACCTGCTCACCACTCATTGCGCGCATCTAGCAGCGATTGGTTGTAATCAATGGTTGATGTGTCTTATATGGGCAGCGCATGAATATTATTCTAATAAGGGGATAATATTCCTTCAAGTTTATCCACCTCGGCTAATATTGGCAGGGAATTGTCACGCGAGACAATCTCCTTATCGAACCTGTTTGGTGTCAATTACACGTAACGGGCTATCCTCTCTCTCTCTTTACTGCTTATCTCACGACGCACAAGAGCAAAATCTCCAAATGGATGGGACATGTGATGTGTGACATCTTGAAGCCTGCCTGGCTACTACTTTATCTAATACGTATAAGCTAAAAAAGCTACAAAATGGCAATTTTAAATTTCGGCATCCGATCCACGAGGTGTTAAATGTTATCGGCCCTGACAAAGTATTTTAGATAGGCATTCGTTACTCATTTAAATCTTTTTTTCTAGTTCTCAAACCCTCAAATCGGGCCTTTGATTGGTCATTACGCAGTTTGACATCTCATAGTTTCGATTATTCCAGAACAACCACCTTGTAATTTTAGTTTATTTTCCTTTTTTTGAATACGTTCTTCATCTTCCACCTTTTAACTTTAAGCCTCAGTGGTCTTGTAGTTGTTAATTGGCAGCCGCGACTTTCCGGCAGGGGATCAATAGATCTACAATGCCGTCTATAACAATACAAATTGAAACGCTAGCAATGAACAGGAAAACCTGACTACTTTCAGTGTGTTGTCTCGTCTAACGGTCTCGCAGGACATGATTATACAGTGATTAATGACTCAACATTTTCCTGTTTTATCGCTCATTGTCGTACGCAACCGCTACGCCGTGTCTGTCGAAGACTGTTAGCCTGGTTACGATGGTGGATAATGCAAAGCGGCTTAATCCAAGAAGCGTTCATTTACAATAATTTTAAACATTTGCTTCCTTATATCGGATTTCGTGTTCATGTGTACAAAAAATATGGCAAACGATGCATTTTGTCGCTGTTGCTAGCGCTGGACCGTCTCACACAGCGTTGATGCGCTTTAATGAGTTCCCGTACATCAATTGCATGACATTTCATCTATTTAAAGCTGTGTATCATTGTAAATCTATGACGTCAAAATGGGCATAATTATCACGGTATATTACGGAAACGTCCCATGGACGGTCTGTTGCTGATGATGAATCACTTGGTCCAGCGGCGCTCATTGGACTGCCTTTCCGATGCCCAGTGCGGTTTGATTCTTGTAAGTAGTCCAAAAATTGAATTTCTATTACGTTGTCTTTTTGTCAACGCTCACAGTCACTGCGACCGCTGTACCTGTACGAGGTAATTAAAAAGATTAATACCATGCCTACAAGAAATTATCCTAGATTTGCCATTGAATTAGTACGCGATATGCCGTGTGTAGCGGAGCTACACAGCTTCTTAATTTAGAGGAAAACTTAGCGCCTAACGAGAAACTTAGTTTCGAAGAACAAGACTCAATGAGTCAACAAGCGTAAAGCTTATGGTCCTTGTTCCAGGGGACCAAAGTGAATCGACAGAACTTAGTGCTTAAGAGTAACTAGCTACCTCCAGGAGGTGTTGCTAACTCTTAGTGGTCAGTGATCAACGACCAAAGACGCCTCGCAAGGCACGTATTTTTAAGATCAAAAGGGAAATTGAAATTTGTTTCCGTTTAACCCTATTTAACATCTTAATTCTAATCTAGACACTTAAGTCCTAACTTAGTACAACTAAGATCTCTCATATCTGGTGGCTGACACCAACCAGCCCCTATTAATCGATAATTTTTTACATCTCTTCCAGTGGGATATCATCCGTGTGTTTAGTACACAGATTACCAAGTGCCCAACTACGTGCAACCCCTAAACACCCTCCCCCACCTGATTGACATTTACCAAAATGGTAGTAGAATCTTATTACGATCGAACGTTCCAATCGAAATATGTTCTTCCACGAGGTCAAATTACTTGCGGTTCACCCCACGTAAACGTAAAGCTTAGCACGATGTCCTCATCACCTAACGAGTCAAAGACACTCATGGTAACCTCAAAATGGGGGAGGCATTCGACTATGGTGGCTATACCAGTGTCCCGGGTGATGCAGAGACAATGTCCGATACACCCATGTCTGAGGTACAACTTCTAACTGCCCTTTGTCCGTTCCCTGAACGTGAAAATGAGAACTCGTCGTTGGCGCCACGCTTAACACCCGGTTCGGATGATACCATCACAAAGAACTCGCTTATAAAGCAGCTATAGTTTCTTCTCCAACAAGGAGAAAGCACTCGGTGCCATGCGCAAATGGTCACAACACTCGAGCACCAACGTGACTATGTGTTCACTTCACCCGGTGTGGAGGAACGCTTACGTCAAGCAGCCGGCTATCGTTGGCAACGTAAAGCATTGGTCATAGGCCTTAGTCTCCTGAAAAGGTAGCGAGCTGCCAGATACGTCGCAAGAGATTCCTGGAGCCACACCTAACGACCCAAGGTCAATACAAGGCACGCCTTGACATGCAGGCACGTGGTGCA